CTTCCTTCCTCAGCTGTCCTTGTGGTAGGTCTGCACAGACTGCCACCTGCCCTTCACTCTGGGTTTGTACCCATGTGTCATCTACAGCAGCCACTGGAACTGTTAGGAAAGGAAAGCAAGGTGGGGGAGCCATCATGGACAGTGAACAGCAGGAGCAGAACAACACCACTGTTTGTGCCCAAAAGGGGCTGAAAAACTGGCTGGGAACTACTGCCCATGAGTCCTTCATCACTGAACAGGCTGTGTGATGTTCACCACTGAACCACTGGATCTGCGGTTTTCAGCCATGTCTGAACCTGTGAGGGCTTGTGAGGCTTTCCAGTCCATTCCCACCTTCTGCCCCTTTGGAGTATCCCTCCAGCTAAGTCCCTTGTCATCTCCCCTGCAAGGGGAGGCCAGTCAGCCTGGAAGGGAGGAAGCTCCAGTGGAGCTCACAGAGGCAGTCCAGCACCCAGCAGGAACCACCATGACAGCTGCTGCTTCAGGCTCACATTTTGTGGTGTTTATTATTCTTTTCATTCTTGGCCATGTCTCCATTATTATTATTATTATTTCCAAGTGAAGGAGGAAATTCTGCTTATGAACCTCTGTTTGTGGTCCCTGCTGTGCGCGCAGCTGCCCAGATCAGCACGCCGCTGTGGGTGAGCTGCTGGTCCAACATCCAGCTCATCTCTGTGTGATGTACTCAACCCAGACAAAACTGGATAACTGCCCCAAGGGAAGGCTGTCTCTGGATGTGCTGTGTTCCTGCAGGACTCCATTCTTGGCCGTTTCCAACCACTAGTTGTGAGAGAAAAGACACTGAGCTAAGCCGACCAGCATGGTTGTCCTTATCGTCCTGAAAACTCTCATCAAACACCCAGACAATGAATACCAGCGAGGGTTGGGAGTTCACAGAGGCAAAATACAAGCTGAACAGAGGGGAATAGTTGCAAAACTATTGAGTCCCGAGATGCAGAAAGCATTTGTCTTTCCTGATGCAGTATTCAAAAAATGAGGAAAGGATCAAAAAATTTCCCCATGACACCAACAAATATAAAACATCAGAAAACCAACAAGAGAGAACAAAAAACCATACACATCCATGAGAGGAGGCCCTTTTAGACAGCTCAGTGTGAAGACAGCCACGGTGGACCTCATCGGAGGGCTCTCCACTGGCATCTCCTCCTGCCAGGGCAGGAGCAACCACTGGGCTGCCAAGTGGGTGGATAACACCACTGCAGGATGTGCACCTTGCTGGCATCAGGCAAGTCCATGACCACTTTGAACACAGCAAAGATGAGCAGGAAGCAGAATGTCATGGATTTGTTGTTTAGAACTAAAAAACCTAAAAAGCCACACAGGCACCAAGGAGCTTGGTTTCCCTCAACACTTGTACCTTTTGCTTGGACGAGTTGATCCTTCCCTCCTCCCAAGCTCTCCATCCACACGCATTGCCTCCGGTGCCACCACCACTCCTGCCTGCTTATTTGTGGTAAACCAGTGTGGTTTGATCCAGTTTTATCAGAAAAAGACTTGGAAGCATTTGTGGTTCTTTTTAAACCTGTGGTGAGCCAGTAAGTGCTGTGTGCTGCTTGTAGGTCAAAGCACAGCTGAAATGGCATCCTGCAGGCTGAGGGAGGCTGGGCCTGAGCACGGTTTGACACCGCAAACCACTTCTATGTCCTAAACTGTGTCAAATGTCTTGTATCAGCTTGTCAGCAGGTGCAAGCCCTGAGGGCTCCTCAGTGGGAAAGAGTGTGCAGAAGAGACCCTCCACGCGTGCATTTTCCTGCAGTGCGCTGGATTCTCCCCTCCCACAAAGGAGCCCACCTTCCCAAGGGTGCTGTTAACACAGAGGCGCTCAAAGGTGTCCCAGCAGCTTCTGGCTGCCTGAGAAATCAGTCACCTCACCAGTCCCTGCTGGCTGATGGCACACAGCCTGAGGGTGCTGTCCTGGCATGACTGCACATCTCAAATCACTGGCAGGCCTCTATGACAACCCCCTGCCTTGAATGAACCTTCCACCAATAAAAACCAAGCAAAACTGGAGCAAACAAAGCATAGACTAGGATAGGGATGCATTTGGATGAGTTTTCTATCTCTTCATACTTGAGTGGAGCTGCTGTCAGATGATACTGGCTCCCTGCCACTCAGCCAGATGCTACTACTGCCCATGGATGGCCACAAGATAACTGCTTGCAAGGAAGGTCAAGGAAAACTGCAGTACAGTGAAACAACTCACCTTATTTCTGTATGAAATATTTCACACAGTTTAAAATAGATGTTGTGAAAGTTTGATACAGATTTTAAGTCTTGAATTTTGAAAATGAGCTTTTACCTCAGGTGGAAATACCTATGTAAAGGGCTGCATTTTACTTTTGCAAGAAATAATGTTTTGCTGCCTTTCTAGTAACCACTTAGGCTGTTTTGAATGGAGGTAGGATTTTTGTGAGTTACACAAAATTAAATTTGCACTATAGCTGCAGTTGTGGATGAAATCAGTTTTTGCTGACAGCAATTCTGAAAAACTTATCTCTTCTATCTGCTATTTTTAACCCCAAAGGATGGAAAATTTTTAATAATCTCTGAATAGCTGTGGACCTGTTCCCACTTGCAGACCTGTAAGGGTCTGCAAAATGGAATCAAATGCCTGTCCTTTGAGAGCTTTCATTTGATGATGGTGAAACACATGCTCAGAAGTAAAAGTCAACATGCTCCTATTAAAATCCTTAAAAAAACCAAAACAAAACAAACCAATGAAACAAAAAACACAAAAAAAACCCCCCAAAAACGAAAACTCTAGGAATTTTAAAAAACCCCAACAAACAGAAATGTCATTTGATCACATGGAAGAGAACATCAGAACAAGTAGGCTCAAGGAGAACAAAATGTTTATGGAGCAGATTCCCAACATCATACATCCCAGGACCCTCAGTGCTGCGATGTCACTCTTCCAAGCACAACTTGCTTCATCACTAGAGCTCATTTGCTCAAGGGATTCTTTAAGGAAAAATAAGGGGAAACTTCTCTGGAAACTTCTCTGGAGTTCACTGGTTCTCTGGACCTCATCTTAATGTTCTGTCTCAGTACTGAGCAGTGAAATTGTTTTTGCTGTATGTTCCAACAGCATTTCCGGTAGAGAGCAAGTATCCTTTGAGGTATAGAAATGTAGCTTTGAGGTAGGTAACACAACATTCTATTTTCTCATCAAGTAGTACTTTAAGAAAATTTTCTGCAGCAAGCATCATCAAACTAATGCACTGTGCAGCTGTGGTTCTTTCACCTCAATCCTAAGTCCAAGACCTGAATGAACACTTGTAAATTACTATTTGTTCTGAAATATTAGAATGTGTTGTTCTTTCCCCAGACCTATATCAATGCATAATTCACTGATTTCCCACTGCTTACTTCATAAGATGTTGAAAATTCATGCACATACTTGGACCATTTTAGCAGGTTTTACAGACTGACAGTCCTTTTATTTGTATGGGTTCAGCATACAGCCATGTGATACACTGAAGCTAAGAAAAACTGGGGAGGATGATTCACAGGAAAATTTTTAAGAAGTCCATTTCTTCTAATTCAGTGCAAAAACAATTCACATACAATCAATAATCTGAGACAAAATTCTACATTATTTTAAATTTACTGAGTGCTGTAAGTAATCATTAGTGACTGTACTACTATCGCCTGGAAATAAGGCAGGGGCAAGTTCTGACCTACATCTGTTTTATAATTATAGTGTTCATAGTTGTATATTACTTTATATGCATACATTTATATGAAACAACAGCAAAATAAAACTGTTCCCACAACAATGAACAGAGTATACTGTACAGCTTATAAGTTATGGTATACAGTAAAACTGGTGTCACATAATATAGGTTATGGAATACATTCATAGACAATTATATATATTAATTTGCAAATTTAACAAAGAATTTTTTTAAGCAAGTAAGATATTACATACAATGGTGTTGATTCATCATTACCGCAGTTTAAAATATTGGCCCTTTCATGCCACAGGAAACTCAGAATCAAGGTAATGAATCACAGTCAGTACACACCATCTGACAGAGCTGCAATGATTTATGAATAACCTGAATTTCTTGGAGTTTGATGACTTGATTTTGCAATCATGACTTTGAATTATCTAGGTTTATTTTCCCTGTCTGGCTCTGTTATATACATATAAATACTTGTCTTACAGTATTTATCAGCTCTGCATTTTGATTTGGAAATAAATACTCAGTTTATAACGTTCTTTCACACCAAAAAGGAACCAAGACATGGAAGCCCGAGGGCACATCCCACTAACATAGTGGCTGATGTGTTGGCTTTTAATGGGAAGTGGCACTCTAAGTATCTAATCACTCTATTTATAGAATTTAAACCCCTAAACTACTTTGGAGCATTCATATATTTTACCTACTGCTAAGCTGGCAAATATTATTTAACTACAAGTCTAATCTAGATAATAGCTTTTAAATCCATTGAAGCCAAGATGCATCAGAATAATAATCATACAACTATACAAATAGTTGTAGCTAATTCCTAATTTTACAGTGCTGCAACTCTCCAGCAGTAAGTAACAGAAATGTATGTATGTACACCTGTAACAAAGAGCAAACCTGTGTTGTGGATGGACTTATGTCTGCTGTGCTCATGCTCAGTGTTTAGGTCTATATTAAAAATAGTATCAGCAGAGAATTGCTGTGGGAAGAGAAGCACAAAATGCTGCTCAAGAATATCTGAAGACAGATGTCACAAAGTGACACTTTTGATTGCTAGGGCTGCTTGTGCTTCTGTTTGTTGCGGCTTCTCCAGCTACTCCCAGAGTATGATGATGAGGTCGGATGGGGACGCTGCTTAACAGTCACAAAAACTGTTACACCTGTCTGCTGCACTGGACAATTGGTCCTTTGAGCTCAGCTAGACAGGAGGCAGCCATGGGGGGCTGAGGGGTTAAAGGCAGCTGGTGATTTAATGTCTGAGTTAGACTTTAAGAAAGAGTATGCTTCACATTGCAAATTAATATTTATTTTATACAGGACCGTCAGAATTAACAATAGGGTGCCAGAGTGCATCTTCACTAATCTATCCCATAACAACATGGAAGTACAATTTTCAAAGACACATATTTATATATCTGCTAATCACTTTTGTCCCTGTTACTTAACTAGCAATTAGAAACGCTTTGGGACGCACGTACACATGCACACATTAAAAAAAAGGCAATACAAGTTCTTTTGTTGCTGTCAGAAATAGTAAGTAGCAGCATATCATCGTTTCCTTGTCCCGCTGCTGCCACTGGCAGATTTATTGAAACTTCTGCTCATTTGTGGGAAGTGTACAGTTGGTGTTCTTTCAGTGGGGCCATAGAGCCCTAAATTCCTGGCTGTGGCTGACTTTCGAAGAGGCTTGACACTGGGAAAAGGACTGAAGACTTGTGGCTTTGGGTTCCCAAGCTGGGGCGATTTAGCCAGGTTTCCACTGTCTCTGGATGAAGTGGAAGACTCTGATAAACGTGGCTGGCTGGATTGATGGGATGTTGGCTCCACATCGGTTTGGGTATCTGAGGTGAGTTCCAGTGCTTCCAGTTTTAGCTGAACCATGGACACGTTTGTACCGCTCTCTGTAGAGTCTGCCTCAGATGACTGCTGATCAGCTTTCCGAGTAGTCCTGTCATCCAAACCACCTTCTTCTCTTTCTCCAATGTCAGAATGTTTGGAAGTCTCGTCCTTTGCACCAAGACTATTTGTTTTACAGCTCTCACTCTGCTCATCTATCAGTCCTACAGTATCTCCATAGCCCAGCTGTCCTTTGGCCCTAGCAATGTTCTTCCGATGAACTCGTATGTGAGTGCGCCATGGAGAGTTCAGTTTTGTTTTAAGATCTTCTTGGGGAATGGGAGACATCTTCCCCGTAGCATGGCTTGGGATGTGAATAACAGCATTTTTGAGAGACTTGTTATTCAATTTCATCTTCTTTCCTAAAAGGAGGTGGTTTATCACTGGGGAATGGTTTACCTGAGAAGGGAGGAGGCTGGTAACTGGCCCCTTGTCTGAAAGAAAGCATTTAAAAGAAACACAGTATTGTTAAAGAACAAAACAAATTACTGTTCTAAGGATCTACCATAAATTTTGATACTTTCTTGAGATATGGCAAAGGTTTGTAGGACAGAATGCATTTTAAAAAAAACAAACCAAATTTAAAAATCGTCACTGAATTTCATTTATGTCTTAGAGTTGAACACAAAACAGCACCTTCTATATAAGGCTTTTCTGCCCTCCCTCACTGCTTTGCACCTATGGGGAAGCCCCAAGCCAGGAATACCATGAAAATATTTAATTTTAAAAAAGAGCTTCTTGATTTTTGGAATTGCACTAAAACTGATAATTTAACATTAATATTGGCTTCTGATATTTCCCCTCTCCTTCATTTCTCTTCCAACAGCAAGAGGCAATTCAGTCTCCATATGAGGTCAGTCACACAAGTCTCTCCATGAGGCTTGTGTGAGTGGAAAACAGAAAACAAATGAAAGTACTTTTAATGCGTAAAACCACCTCTTATTAAGCCAGTGGAGTAGACTCAGAATTAGTGATTAGATTACAGTTTGATTAAATGACAAACCCAGCCCTGTATCATGATTAGTAAGATTAGAAAGATTTGTGTGTGGAAGGTAGCGGTTGGCATCCTTGGGAATCAACATTTTACTGTTAGCACTGTTTCTGCTGGCTACAGCCTCTGTTCAAAGCAAACACTTCACTAATATTTAAAAAAAAAATCCTTCTAAACCATGTACATAACAAATTGCAGTTCCATGTATTCCAATGCTCCTGCTAGCACAAGTTTAGACAATCTGTAAGAGAAACAACAATTCTCCACAGTGACCCATGTGCATGGTTCAATAGTGAACTTAGAAAGATGACACCTAAGCAGGGAGGAATGAATGGGGTGGGCTGTGTTCAGCTTGTACACCCCGTAAAACCTTCAGCTATGCATTTCATGCCAACCCTTGCACTGCTGACTCTGACAGTTAGGGAGACAGACTCCATAACATGGGTTGTTAAATAAGGGACTGATGTCCAGCTTGGTCCTCACAACAGTATCACTATGGCTAATGAAACTGCCAGCCACAATGGAACACGTAAGCTAGTTCCTTCAGCTGCATAATTTGACATGCCCAGATGAATTCAGAGGAGTTTGGATAATACAGACCAGCTAGGAATCTACCTGCCACATTATCTCAAGCATCCTCATCTCTGCATTCAATTTTTTCAGTGCATCAATATGTCAATTCCAAGAATGCCAAAGACTTAAAGTTTTTTAATCAGAGAGATCAACACAATGCACCCAGATAGCAAAGCCACTTTTAAATACCATTCTTTAGTTGGTCCCTGGGACCTAAGAAAACCCCAGGGTCATCATCTTCAGATCCTGATAAAAGAAGAAAAAATATCACCTTCTTGTTTCTGTCTGCATGAAGCGGTACCCACTTTACTACTAATGCTATATCATTAATGTCATCGTTTGCTATAATGTTATTTCATCAGTCTTTCTTATTGTGTCTATTTGGTTAAATGTAAAAAATGTCATTTGCCTGATGGAGTTAGTTTGCAGTAAATCAGGAAATGAAGCACGTTTTGATGTGTTACCTGCTCTGATATACACATGGTGAACCTGCTGCTGCTGCTTCTTCTTTATCCTGGAATATTGCTTTTTCAGTGCATTAATATCAGTGGTCATACGCTCCATCATCATGCTGTTAAAAGCAGTCTGATAGTCACTTCTGCATGAATCTATTGCTCCTGGACTTAATTCTGCAATGTTACTGGAACCAAGACTTTGTTCTTCATTCTGATCTGTAGAAGGAGGGAATAAAGTGGAGGTGAGCAGTAAATTGGCATACTCGAAAGACGCATCTGTACTTTTGTAGATTATTTCCAAGGGAAGTCCGGGTCTGATTCCTACCATCTTATTTAACTGTAGTCTTCAATTAAAAACTTATTATAATATGTGTATTTAACTAAGCTGTGTTATTTACAATAAGAAGTATTATAAATAGCACTACTGCTTTAGAATAGCAGGGGTTTGAGGGGAGATTAAAGAGTACAAAAGTTAATTAACATGGCAGTGCAAAGTTGTAAGCACAGCTTTTCAAATATCCAAAAGTACATCAAGCCACCACTGAAGTAAGTCAATAACAGATTATTAAAGATACTTGTTGTCATAGAGGCCAGAAATGCAAGTTATAAAATATGTTACAGTCAAGCAGGCATGAGATTAAACCACCAACCTAGTGCTACCAGCAAGAAGCATCAAGAAACAGAATACCACAGGGAGAAAGCTGCTAGTAGCAACAAAAAGGATAGGCACAGAGCAACTGAGGATCAGAAAACTTGAGAGTGTCTCTGACCAACAGCTGCAGAGCATTAGCAGCAAAGCAGTTTATTTTCACAGCTGTTTCTGATGCACCAACCCGGCACTACAGGGTCAGGAGGATAATTCTTTTTCAAGGAATGTTTATTTGTCTTTGGCTTAGTTTGCAACAGCAGTTTGATGTACTGACTAAGTGCTAGCTTGAAGCAGCAGGTGGAGAGTCCCCCAGGAAGGGAAAAACAAAACACCACAGCAATCAAGAGGAGAATTGCAGCTTACAGGTCTCAGCAAAACCAAGCCACAAGAATGATGAAGTGTGAACAGCAACTTGTTACACCAGTCTGGGGTTTTTTGAGGGTAAGGTGGGGATAAATAAAGATGGCCTCTCCCAAGATACTGTGAAATGACTGTTGATCCAGTACCATTTCATAAAGATTACTGCTTTTCTTGTATGGATCAGCATTTTCTACAGCTTATAGAGAATTTGCACTGGCCTTCATACAATTCTGTCAAGAAATTTTATTTCTGTGCAAAAGGATTTGAAAAATGGTGACATTTTGAATATATCCAAAACATACAACAATATGACGGTCTGGCCAAAAGGGCAGTGAAATCACCTGCAGAGTTCACTCACTGCTGATTGGTTCCAGTGTTAGCCATGCATATGTTAATAAAGATCAAGATTATTTATTAAAGAAACACCCTTCAGAAAATGCTGACTACTTAACAGCTGTCTCAGAAATAGGTATGGATTTAGGGTGGAATTTTTTGCACATATGCTTCTTTTTTTCTGTGTGTGTAACACTATGGGGTTGTTTTGCTACCATTACTGTAGCCAAATCCTTAACCCACACCATCATTTACTGTACACCTATAGCCTTCCAACCTGGCTTTGGCAACATCTTCATGGAGCACAGAGCAAGTCATTTGGTACCTGCTGTAACTTCTGTGTGCATAGAAAACACATTTTCCATAGCAGCCTTCACAGACAGAACTGCAGATAATTTCTACCAGGTCATATAGATTTAACTGTGTTTTCCAAAATTAAAGAAGTCACTTCTACCTTTCATCTGCTTTTGGTATTTTTGGAGCTCTGGTGCCAAAAACCCACTTAATGGTCCAAGACAGCCAATTGCATTAGCAACTGAGTCTTCATCATCTAAGTCATTCTCTTCATCGCTGTCTCTGGTTCTGCCTAACCTGCTGTCAAAAGAGAACATAAGAGAAGTAAGGAAGATACATTCTTAAATGTGAACATTACCAAGCATTTTTATCTTTTTTAGAAGAATACAAGGGAGAATCCACCTGCCTTTTCACCTGCAAAGGGTAAACAATAACTCTATACACCATAAGCAGTGCATTTCAAACTTACCCTGAAAATGACGTTGATTTTACTGCTGCAGGGAAAGGAGTAATATTGTATGTATATTTCTCCCTCAGTTCTGCCAGTTGTGGGAAAGGAAACTGAGCCATGGTGTAAACAGTCTGGGGGGTGAAAAAAAAGCCAACTTTAAAAACTTTTTGCTTTAATTAACAGTCTCACAAAAGATTTTTCCATTAACAGATTTCCACAGTCTTGCAGGATTAAAGGCTGCACATTCTTGCACATTCACGTGCTGTAAGAAAATGGTCTAGTTTAATGATTCAGTCAGTATTTCCTGTAAGAAAAAAAAAAAAAAAAAGACTGACTCACTAGAAAGATAGTTCTGGTAAAAAAAAAAAAAGAAAAGGGAACTGATAACATGAGCTGTAGGATCCTTTACAACTCCTATACTCATTTAATAATTATTATCAACCCCTTCTTGCCAGCACACCAGAAATCCTCCTCCAATTATGATTTCACTTACATGAACACATCATTTAGGATTTGGGGATCTTTCCAGAAGACCTAGGGTTTTTTTAAGTATTCAACAAAGTATTAGCACAGATAGGAAGGGGCAGATCCTCACTGATGTGGACTGTTAGTTGGTTCATTATTTACAATCTCAAGAGCTTGTGTGAAGGAAATCACACCAGCACAAAAATCATCACTAAAGAGGAAGGATCCAACATATCCAAGTTTTCTTCTCTCAGTTTCTAGTTTGGATTACTGGTTGGTTTTGAGGATAAAGGTGGGATTTGGTGGGGTAAAGGTAGTAGTTTTTCTAAAACAAGGTCATCAAAATGCTAATACATTTTCTTTACATCAATACTCGGAGTTTTAAAAGATACATAGTTGCAAATGCATTTCCTTTCAGCATTATATTTACTGTAAGTCACCAGCCAACCTGGCATAAAAATACATCACATTCAATGCAATATCACTGCTGATTTGTTCCTACATACTTTAGTTGCCTTTTTTCCCCAGCTTTTGTTCACTATTCAGAACTTTCAAATAACTGCCAAATAATTTGAGTCTCCGTGTCAGAAGAAAAAAAAATATATATATAATTTCCTATAGTTTCTCTGAAATATTAAAGCTTTTCCACATCCTGAAAATTAAATATCTTTTGAAAGACAGGAACATAAAATTTTCTCATTAACTATGACAGTAAATCTTTGCTTATATATATTTTTTTTCCTGTGCTTTTAAGTCAGGACATTTTCATCTGAAGGCAAATGACCTCAATTAAGATGAAAGGAAATTCTGAACAGTTTCTACATAATCCATTCTTGAACCATGCCTTCTCTATGCTAAGTACACTAAGGAAAATTACAAACATAAATTCAGTACTAGACATTTCCTGACATAAGGAGGGAAAAAAGTTTAGTTAATGGCAATGATGTAAGCACTGAGGAGCAGGAAGGGCAGTCCTCTCTGAATCAGAGACAGGGCAATAGTGCCCCTCAACAGGCTTCTGTGTGAGAGTGCTTTTACAGTTCAAGCCATGCACAGCCTCTAAGGAAAAGAAGATGCCTTCAAAAGGAAAGGAAGATGCCTTCAAAAATCCATAGCATGAACTGAAGTTTTGCCACTCCATTAAACTACAATGCTACTGTGAAAGATGCATATTCCCTAGGGCCTGCACAGTGATTTCCCATTTCTACCAGACAAAGGGATTTTATGAACTGGAGAAAGACCTACTTCCAGCCCAACATGTCTGCCTGCTTGTTTGATCTCCACCAGACTTTCCTGTTAGGGTTTAATTTTTTTCCATATGTTTCAACTCTCTCCAGAGGTTTGTCTGGAATTTATTTCTACTCCTTATGTCAATGTCCTTCTCAGGTAACTTGTTCCATATGCTAGTTACCCTTTAAGTAAAACAGTCGACTCCAATTCCTCCATTTGCTCCTTCTACCTACTGTTTCAGATTATGCTTTTAGCTTTTTTCTGTCTTCATTCTGTGTCTCTTCCACATCTTCTACAAGTTCTTTCATTTAGCATACGTATTTTTACATAACTATTGTTATCACCTGGCTAAGAGATCCACAAAACAAATTTTATGCCAGTGCCAATTCCACTGGAAATTTAAAAAAAATATTGCCAGCCAACACCTCTGCTACCCTCCCAGTGTCAATTCAGAGTCAAAGCATTCTTTTTCTAGTCATTACACAGCCTCGGGTGCCATTTGGTTAATTCTGGGGACCTGTCCCAGAGAGAAATAGCCTACATGAAAGCATGATGCAGCCAAACTTAGCATCTTATTTACATAAGGGACAGATCCTGAGAACAAGAAAAAAGACAAAACCCCTCTATTTTCACCTTAAATCATTTGACAATCCTTTGCCTTACTCTAAAAGTGCAAAGCTGTCTACACCCTCAGCAGAACACCACATGGAAGGTGATGGGCTGTGGCTTCCAAACAGGGTAAACCATTTTGCAGACAACTTATCAAACATACTTCTCTCCATAGCTTCTCTCCCCTCACTGGTTTAAGGATCTTCTTTCTTTTCAGTTTGATTAAGAAAACAAAACAAAAAGCACAAGCAAAAACAAACCCAAAAGAAAGCAGACAAAGTGCTACTCAAGTAGAAAGTTAACAGTGAATACCATCAAATCAGGGCAACTGCCTGGGCAGATAGTCCAAAATACTAGAGTACCACAGAAGGATTAATCCCTGTTCCCCTCCGTTCTAGTAAATACAAAGGGATGCCTCTCCTCCAGTTGGCTTCTCATCTCCTCTGTGCTGCAATGTTCCTGGGTGTACAAACTGAATCAGTTTAGCTGGTTATAAAAATGCTCACTTTCTGATAGGGCATGGAAGCACAGACTCAGTCTAGCACACTCTGCTTAGAATATCTGCAGACACCTGATGTACAGCCTTCTGTCTCCACACTGGAACCAATACATACCCAGCCTAGAATCTGATGTGTACAGCACTTACCCTTTATTCACCCAAACTGTTCAATCTGAAAAAGGAGGAAACTGTAGACTGGCTTGCTCCTCCAATGCCTTCATGCTCTCCTCAGTAAACGTTAAGAACTTTTGTCACACAAGGGCCAAATCTGCAAAAGCTTTAAGGCTCCCATCCTAACTATAGGTACTGTCTGCATGGGAGCAATCAAACTGCAGCAACTATACATGCTGGTGGAAAGAATGAGGACATGAGTCCTCTGTTCTACTTTAGACATCTGCTCTGCCAACACTTCCCTTGAAGGATCAGCTGTACCTCCCTCCTCTAACTCCTAAAAGAAACAAGGCTCTTAGAGCACAATTCATTTTCCAGTGGTTGAGAAGAGCCTGTTACACTCGCTGAAGTGAGCCTGGACAAGTAGTTTAGATGCAAATATAAGTGTTATGCAAGTCTAAGGAGAAGTGAGATGACTGCCACCAGCAAGCTCTTCTGAAATGTGTAGAGAAGGCAGAGTGGGTTATTATAATCCTTTCCCCACCGTAGGATACTAGTCCTTGAGCCATCTTGTAAAAAATATCAGATGCAAATTAATAATTCTGATATTTATTAGGGGAAAAGCAAAAAAAGAAAAACAAAAAAGAAAACAAAGCATCTCTGGATGACTCCTCTGAAAAAGCTTAAAGCAATTTTATAAAACAGTATGTTCAGGCAGCTTGGATCTTTTCATTAATGCAATGGTTCGTATTTCTTAATTTTTTTTCTCCAACCAGATACATGGTAGCACTTATATGCCCTGATGCTAAACTCTTGTAGTTCCTTATTCTTTCCACTTAGGGTAAAGAGTGGAGACCTCAGAGATGGCTACACTGCCAGTGCCTGTCTTTGACTTGCAGAAAGCTATGTGAACTATATTGTGGTTTCTTCAACTGAGAGGACACACATAAACCACATACACTGCTCTTCCATACACAGAACTTAAACCTGCCACATTCACCGTATCAGTGGCAATGCCATCCTACCTTAATACTCCTGTCAGTGCCATAAAATATACACATACACTATGAAAACATGTATGTATTGTGCCAAATACTAATTTTTTACTCAAGCACAAAAAGATTGCTAATTTGCTAGTATCTGTAATTGAAAGAGTTAAAAAAAGTCCTTCCAACCAGTAAATTACCCATGCCTTATCTTTTACACGCAGCAGCAAAGAAAGAAATCCACAGTCACAAAAGACCACCCCAGCTTCCCCAAAATTATTCACAAATGCCACATCTTGATTTTGTACCACACTGGAGACCAGGAACTGAAACACAATGAGAAGTTGTCAGCTTGTGCTGCCCTCTTTACACATCCTCACTATCTGAACTGTCTTGTGAAGAACTTTAATATTTTTTTAAAAAGCTTGTGAGTACCTCTGACCAGCTGCATTTCCATTTTTGAAGCAAAACAAAGCCACAACACTCACTTCTCCCATTCCTAGAGCTTCCTCATAGGACAAAATAACAATGACCAAAATAATAAACCTGAAAATAGTGTATTTCAACACAGTCTTTCAACAATAGGTAATAGAAGTCACCTGCTAACAATGGTTATTAAACTTTTGTAGCTTCACAGACTGACTTTTTTCTGTCCCTTAAGTCAGGCACAAAGTTTCAGGTGAATTATGTTCTCTGTACTTGCTCTCATTTGATCACTATGCTCTAACTCATCAAAAGGAAAGTTCCAAAACTGTAGCATGAAGTCCTTATAAAGCATCTAAGTAGGCAACATCTTAAAAATATCACAAGAAAAAGTGTAACTGTAAATAAATAAATAAATTTACCTGCTATGCTAAAGGCCCTTTCCTTTCCCAGAACAATGTGGGTCTTTGTTCTCATACAATAGCATATGCTTTAATAATTCAGGCACTGCAATTATCTAAAAGTGTCTTTGTTTACAGTACATTACTGACTGTTCATGTTTTGATTTTTTTTTTAAATCGTGAAGGACTTTTTATACACTTCTCGCTTCATAAACCCTTATTTCCCACAGTGTCTGCAGAATGGAAAGGACACAGTGTAATAAAAAACTCACCAAAACATAATAATAAGGCAAAAGAACTCCCTAAAAACGGTGACTACTAAAGATTCTACATCTTGTGTAAATGCAATTGAGCATTATATCCCAAAAGACTCAGCTGTCAACATAGAATCAATTTTTGTTAAATGACACCTAGTGGTTCTCTACATTTCATATAAAAATAAGATTCTAGCTCTAACTGCAGCTGATCTACTTGTTTCATTGACATGCTAGCTCAACCCTGTTATCTGAAACTTTTATTCTTGGGAGAATTTAGGTTTCTGCAGTATTTGAAGAAAAATGTAATTTGTTAGAAATCAAGACCTGAAGAAATCAACAGAGAAAACACAAAAATTAATTATGTCACAATTACTCACCTGCATAAGTTCATTGCTGTCAATCAGACTGTCTTCAAGCATCTCCTGGGTCAGCTTGCCCATAGTACTGTAAAACTCATCTGCAGTTTCACAACACTCAATTTGCCTACATCAAAATACATACTGGTTTTTATTTGACTTTTACATATGATTCTACATGCTCAAAACAAAACTGATTTTCTTGTCATCATAAAATATGCATTTTTGTTAGACAGCTTAACTTTTATTTGCAGTTCTGCCTAGACTTCCAAATAATAAAACTATGCACACAACACTGGAAAAGCTGCAGCAGTAAAAAGATGCACTGACTACAGCTTACTGTCCTGACCCCTCATGGTAACAGATTAATGTATCTCCAGACAGGCTATTCCCTCTGCCCCTTTCACTTCTACAGCACAAGAATCAATACATTTTGCCTCCTACTAGCACAAAGGGGTTCTCTTATCAGCTCAAAAAGGGAACATAAAGATTTTTTGACTACCTCATCACCCATTCTTCACCATGCACCAAATAGCCAAATTCACTGTCTGAACTTTGTCAGACAGGAAGATATTCACTGGCCAGAAACCATTCCTGCGGAATAAATTAAGTATAGGCACATTCATTCATGTCATTGTGTTAAAATAATTAACATAAAACACAATGAAGGAAAATTCACTCATCATATTTGTGAATGCTATTTCTGAACTGGGGATGGGAACTGTGTTGGTTTTGGTTATTTGTTTGCTTTGGTAGGGTGCTTTTGTTTGCCTTGTTTTGGGAAGGGGGGTTCAACTGGATACTTTTTCTGCACTTTTCTTTACATTTCTAAAAGCACAGAATCATTCTAAACACACAGAGTGTCATCTAGAGGAAGAGAAATATGAGTAATATGCTTTTGTGAGTTGTTGTTCTACACACATTAGGGTCAGCTGCTAAACATCTCTCCTTTCAAGTGAAAAATTTGTTTTTCTTATATCCCAAGGAAGTGCTTTGATGGCTACATATTGTAGCCCCTCCTCCAAAACCCAGATGCTGGAATGATGAAAAAAAATACACTGCCTTTTTTCCTAAGCAATAGAAGAAGCAGTTTCCCTTGATCTTCAGCATCTGTGCATAACAATCACTGAGCTATGAAACTCCTGAAATCTTAACAAAATTTGGATAAAATAATGATTAAATAGCTAAAAAAAATTAAAAAGTAGTATAAACAGTGGGCATGTAGCCAATTATCATAAACTTATGGCTTACCTGCCCTGATACCTTCAGTCTCTCATGACCTTCACATACTGCTTTCTCTGCTGCACCTATATTTAACCTCCCCATGCCTTCAGCCCCCCTCAAAACAGAAATACGATTGAGCCACCTACATTTTAAAAATGCACTTCTCACCCTATTTTCATTTTGAGAATTAATCTTGAGAAGTATGAAGATCATGAGACTAAAACACTATTTCTGGCCCACCTCTTTAAATCCCCCATTCTAGTTCTAATGGTGGACAAAGAAAAATAAAAACATCACAATCTTCTCAGTGCCCAGTCTTTTACCAGACCTTCTCCCATTCCTCACAAACAACAGTTACAAGATGTGCAGTGTGATCAGCTTATTTCTCTTAGACACATTCTTACATATTTCTTGATTCTGTTCCTTTCAATTTCTTACAACATGTTTAATTTTTTCTTTAAGTTTTATGGTAAAATCTTCAAAGTAGTAACTTCTTTTTTATCATGTTATGAGTTGTAGCATTCACAATTATAACTTTTAAGTATACAGAGATCTACTGGAAGAACTTTTTATCTAAAACACTATGTGACTACATACAGCTTAGTCCCAATGCAAATGATTCATGCAAGTTTCATTCATGACCTGAATCTAAAAAAAGCTTTCAAGAAATTATTATTCTAATTATTATTCTTCAGATTAAAAGTTAAATGTACTAAACAAATCCTCTTACAATGCAACTGGTCTGCAGTGCTAATTTATTCAGAAAGAAAAAAGGAAATGAAACCTCCAAGGACAGAACAGAACATAAATCCCAGTGGTTCAATTTCAGAGAGAAAAGGAAGACGAGTTTTAATAGACATCACAAAAAAAAAAATAAAAATCAATGCAGCTGCTGTGAAAAATGTTTCCAGCTGAACTAACATCTGCTTGACCTGTCAGAGCTCACACCTCCAACTGAAGCCAGTGACAAAACTCATGATGCCAGCTGAAAAATGTTTCCAGCTGAACTAACATCTGCTTGACCTGTCAGAGCTCACACCTCCAACTGAAGCCAGTGACAAAACTCATTTCTCTGGGAGCACTGTAAACTCTTTGGAACACAAATATTTCCTTTGACAACAGAGGAGTTTGAAGAGCTAACCATCTCTTGTGTTCTGGCCATGTGGTGAGTTTCCAAGGCCACAAAGGACTACAACAGAAACTTGGCTGAAATGTGCCTAAAAGCTAAGAATTTCAGGAAAATTAATTTTCAGGCCTTAACAGAAAAGACTCCCATACCACAGGGTCACTCCCTTAGTAACACTGAACTCTTGTACTGGGCAAAGCCAGTGAGCTCAAATCCTTAAATCTCCTTAAGTGAAACTAAGGGAATTAACATCCCCACTTTCAGGTATGCAACTAAATTACTTGGTCACCCTCAAATCTCTTTGTGTGTCTTTCCACAGAATATGTATCAGTTCCTTCAGAAGTTTATGTTCAGGAAAGTCCAACTTCTTAACACAGCACAAAGACAATATACACAGACAACTCCAACAACTGGAGACATTTTCTGCAAAAAGGGTCAATTCTGACATGATGTCAGAATCACATGTTTTTAAGAAACCATAAAGGTCCTTTTTGCAGCTTTTTCAAAACAATCATTCTCCTGAAAGATTGTATCTTGTTTAGAATTGAGAACACCTTAAGGAAAACAAAAGTTAAACATGGCTCATACTGAAAAGAAAAATCAGATAAAAATGGCCACTTACTCTCCCAGCTTTGCCCAGATAGCCAAAGCTACTCTCAGTATAATTTCAGAGCCTTCAAAGAATACTGAATCCCAGATCTTCAGAACTGTATGGTTAGGCAGACAGGTGGCAAAGAGTGTCAGAAACCACTGCATTGTGAAGACATTTGTAAGTGGGGGTTCATAGCCTCCTGAAGTTAAAAAAACAAACAAGCAAAAACCAGGTTACTTGAAGTAACTGCAATTTACTATCATTTTATAAGGAGTAGAAACTGCATCATAAAATCCACCAGACATTCTAGCACCTCTGTTATTGCTCAAAACTTACTTAGCCTGCAGCTGTCCAAAGATAAGCTGAGAATAACAACTGAAAAATTACAGTCACCTTCCATTCTGCTGCACTGCAAAAAACTAAGCAGAATCATTGGCTTTGAAATACAAACCCTGGAATACACCATAACACTTTTTTCCCTTATTTCAAAAAGACTGTTTCTCCTTCCCCAAAGCCATATGAAATAAAAGCTTCTATCAAAAAAAAAAAAAAAAAAAAAAACCAAAACCAAAAAAAAAAAAAAACCACCAACTTTTGGTAAAAAAATTACATTTTTTTCACCAAAAAAGTGAAAAGTGGCATAAGTCTTTATCTACATGGTGATACGGTGAAGGTGACTGTCTCTCTAAAGTCATATCTATTATTTTAATATCCTGGTGTACTTGTTAAGTTTCAAACAAAATGTAGTATTTCAGGAGGAAACTCTAAAGTTTTACTTTTTCATTTTGCTCAGAGAACACTTTGCACATCCCAGTATCAACTTACGCACTGAAGGCCACCCTGTGAAAACACTTTCAAACAGTAAATATTTTCTTAATACCATTTGTTTGTTTGGGCAGAGACACATGGAATATAGCAGCAGATCTTTTCTAAAGTGGAATGCAGGGTGCACTTATCTTCCCAACTGAAAAAGAAACTAAATCAACTAACAAAAAACCTCTTACACTCCCCAGAACATTTCCAAATAAAAGAGCTGTAAGTCTGGAACAGAATGCTATGCCAGAAAAAAAAAAATCACAGTGCAAAGGCAGTTTTCAGGTAGCAACCCAAGATGTACTTCTGAGTTTTGTACCTGTGTACTGGTAAGGATCCAGGTGAAGAAATACTAACCAGCCCCCACTGGCTCTCACATTGTAACTTTTCCCACAATAGCTATATGATCCAGCAACTACACAGAGCAATAGGACATCTATCCTGAGCTAAGGCAAGAAATTACCTTTCCAAGGTAGCCCTTGTACCAAGTTACATGTACCAAGCTACATTCTTGTCAAAACAATTCTGTTTGCAGCTAGTCGTGTGAAATTATTTCCCTTTGTTTTTTTCCTGGAAGTACACCTATTTATATTCAGATTATCAATAATGGAAACCATCATATTTCATCTTAACAACTTAAAATACATATTCTAAGCAATAAACTCATGCAAACACTTAAAATACTGTATTTTTAAATCAGTGCTCAGATGAAACAACAGCAAGACAGAGTTGAATAGCATTTTCTGTTGAACATACCTCCACTTTCTCTGTTAGCAGCTCTTTGCAGGGTGTCTAAGTGCTGGGACAGTTCAGGAAGCTTCATTCGTAAAAGATCTCGGAAAACAGCCATATCCACAGAGAGAGCACGGAGATTATTGACAAAGTAGCTATCAGGAAGCACCTTATCAATTAGGTAAATCATGATCTGTGGGCAGAATAAAAGACTATCATGTAGGACTTACAGAGCAGTTATTTTCTAGGAATAACAGAAAAATTAAATTTCTCTGTTCACTAAAGAATGAATTTGAGCCAGTGGCAACACATGCTTATGGCACCTCCACTTGTATGGGTAGAAAATATTATCACTTTGAGCATCCTCAGGTACCCTAGGTATCCACAAACGTTCAAGATATGAAGGCCTCTTGAAACTGTCCAGAATTTATGAACCATGAAATTACTGAAATCAATGACTGAAATCAATGTCACAGTAAGCTATGCCCAAGCTGGCAGCATTACCCCCACTAAAAGCAACTTTTGACACTTCTGACGTTGGAACTGTTTATGAGATTCTCCACTGCTGGAGAGTCTCACTATCCCTTCTCTGGTTAATGTCTTCTCTAGAAGACTGATTTTGCAAATCCCCTATTTTCCTTCTCCAAAATGCAAGGTACTGTTCTTTAAAAATAAATTCTCCATATATTTTACTGTGATTTGTTACCATATGCTGCACTCCATCTTGTCACTTTAAAAGGTGCTAAATTAAGCAGCGTGAGACATTTTAAGCAGACATCTGTTTCAAGTGAGGTAGCTCAACTACATGATGGTAAGGGATTAAATGGATACTGTCAAACTTTTGAGAATGAACAAATGCAACAAAAAATATGCAGAAGCTGATGTTTATCATCAGCCTAACAGAAGACACTGACCTTTCACTTCAGGATCTTTTAAGATCTCTATGGCCACTCCACTAACCACATCCAGGGAGCCTGCAGTCATCCTGTCTGCACCTCATCTACATTTCTCTCATATGAGCATTCTTACCATGCTTCATAAAGACCTTAATTCTCGAGAGAAGCATTGCATCTTCAGATACAGGAGACAGCCCTCCTTCCAATCCCTCTCTTCTCATAAGACGCCCACAGAAACAGCTTCTCAGACACAGGACTACCAAGAGCACCACCTGACATAGTCTTACTGCTTTCTTTTCTTTCCCATCTGCTTGTGACCACATACTGCATTGCACATACTTGTCCTTGCAAGATTTGTCCAGCAATAGCAGTCTTATGTTCCATGTTTTAAAGCATGTGGAACACAGGCAAATCAACAGCTTCTACATGGCAGCCTCATATTTTGTCAGATGCATTACCCAACCTTTGCTGAATAGTGGGTCACAGTCTTGTAAAAATATGCTTAATTTTGTTCAGATGTATTTTAAACCAAAAGTAACTTAATAGAGCAACATTAACTTACAACTATGCCCCTTGTGTTTTCATTAATTCCTAATGACATAAGCTATAAACCTCCCTTCCCAATGAATAGTATTCCTTCATTGACCTCTGATATATGAGAGCACAGAGAAGAACAGAAATCTTTTTCAACACTGAAGTTCATTCTATTTCACTAACATGTGAATTGCTTTGAGAAGACTTTTTTTTAAAAAAGCACTTCATGTATTTACCAGTTTGCAATAGGTACTTTCTTTGCAACACATCTCTACATATTTATTTTTATTATTTGATTCTGTAGCATTTCCATGCAATAACATGCAAGAAATTTTTTTTTTTGAGTTCCAGTACCTATGAGACTGTTATAGTTTCTACTCATGCAAGATAGGATTTTCTTGCTTAGCATAATTTCTGTAGGCTAACTTTGAGGCAACTCCAGGGATTTAACTTAATGCTTACCTTAACTAGTTAACACTCAAGTATCACTGGCTGGGATTTCACTGAAGCTACCGTGTTGGGTGCTGTGCTGTTAAAGCCCCTTGGCGTCAGTAATACCTGCTGTTTCCTAGCCCCTGGGAGATGTTTCCCAGACACAGAGCTTTTGTTTATAATGTCCTCCCCAGAAATGGGACCTGACAGGCAAGATCTAAGAATGCTCTTGCTCCCGTAACTCCCAGATTCTACAATAACCCAAACACAGCTACCCCACAGCTACAATCCTGAGGGCACCTTTACAGGCCTTGGTAGCTGTTCACTCACTGCTTGCTTTAGGTGACAGTGACTACAACAAAACCATCACATGCTAATACTAAATTCTTATTTCCTGCCACCAACCCTGGTCCTTTCCTTCCCTTCCCCTCTTTCCTTTGTCTTCTAGGAAAATTCCAACCCTGCAAAGCCCACACGCTAAGCTTGGAAAAGAAATAACTTTATTTTACATTCTTATTTTTGCCAGGTAAGACCAGTTTTGTTGCAAACAGCCTTCAGTGCTTTACCTCTCTGGGGCAGTCTGACTCCATTGTCTCCTCCACACAAGGAGCCTGACACAACTCACAATAACAGACAACACAAGGATGCACACAGTTCTTATAGTCAACTTGGACTTCATAAACCTTGGACAATCCTATTTCCTATAGGATAACGTGATCAATTTACAGTTAAAATATTGAGGAAATCTTAAGCAAGAATTATTGAAAAGTAATTTTTCTTTCTGATATAAAGTTGGTATATTAAGGTGTCTTCTTCCTATTACAGGCAGTTGTCTAGAATGAAGGATTAAATATCAGCTAGCTGGACTCTACAGCCACAAGCTTTACATTTTAGGAGCTCTGAGTGAATTTAAGTATTTACCATATTTAAATCATTGTATAAGGCAAGACAAACAGCTCAGTATCTAAAGAATCACAGTCATCTTTTATTAATTTGACTCCAACTCACACATATGAGCAAATTTATTTAAGGAAATTGCACATGATCTTGCCAAACCTTAACCAATGTCCTGTAGTAAACGGATTTCCATTTGCTGACATATTATAAATTTCATGAGACTTTATTTTATTTACAGTAAAACCAATCTAAGAAAACAAACAGTGTAAGACTAACCTGGTCCAGAAATTAGCTTCAAAGTGACTTACTTTCATTTTGAATATTTAGTGTTTTCCTAGGATCTGCTTTGAAATGTAGCCAATTTATCAACTGCCACATAAGGTGCTGATAACAAAATTTTAATATTTCAGCTACCTTTAGTGTTTGCAAGCAGATTTGGGATTACGGGGTAAAATATCCTATAGTAAGTAGCAGTGTTCCCATTTTTTTTTTTTTTTGGTAAAAAAATTTTTTAGTGATAACATTCAAACTATTCATTTTATCTCAGATGATATAACAAAATAAAAAATTCACCAATATCAATCATCTAACTCTTTTGAGTTGTGCTCTTTTATTCTGTCTCCAAAAGTCACACATTGGTTTATTCTAAAGTTCACTAACTAAAAGCAATCTTTGACACTGAAAAAAAAAATTTACTCACTTTCAGGGCATCCCCTTCATTGCCCTCCATTACTTCCAGAATAAGTGCAGCTAGTATGTTAAATCCTTGACAATAGCCAACAGATTTATTCCACCTGGCATAAGCCAGCAAAACACGTTTTAATACCACTCGATCTTGCTCTGCCTCCTGGCCACAATAGGAACTGCAGCCAGTTCGGTGAAGGTCCTTTAAAGTAAAAAGGAAATAAAAATAAAAATGACAAGACAAGCAGAGAAAAGACATGTATTTTCTATCCCCCATTAGTTCTCTTGTCTCTCCCAGTTTTCCTTCCACCTACACCCTCCCAGTACATACTCCCAAAGTTGATAAAAACATTTCTTTTTTAATCTGTTAAACATTTACCTTACCCAAATGAAATAGTTTCAGCAAGCTCTTAAGTAAACAAGTCCCCTAAAAGATATTTATAAGGCATTGCCACAGGAGATGTTAACAGATCTCTGGGTTTCAAACAAGGAAGGCACTACAGCTGCTTAATTGAACAAGAGCACCTGCTTCTATCAAAGTATAAAAGAACTAGTAGATAACTGACTTTTCCAAACATACAAGCCAGAAACTGTGTTCTTGAAATTTAAGTGATTTATAAGTGAAAGGCAAAGTGTACAAAATGGCTGACTGCTTTTATTTGTGAAACACAAATAGGCAAATGTGTTTCACTCCTGTAAAACAACTGAAAAATGCTCATTTGCTGTATTCTAAAATATGCTTTTATTCCCAGAAAACATTTATGTTTATTTACAGAGAAGGAAAAAAACCCACTTATGTTCCTTTGTCTTCATTAACTCTAGCACTTTTTCAAAATCAAAAGAAAGTAAAACTGAAAGGAAAAACCCCAGAAATAGCATCTTTTTCCCAGCTAACACTAACCGGACTAGTGCAAAAGGAACAAAGGAGCCACAAAAAAACCCAACTTTGGTGGGCCAAAAGGAATTAAGACACACTTTTTGCCAAAGCAGTTGCAGAGATGAAAATAAATCCAAATTCAAATGCCAACTTTTCATTTAAAAATTAGAAAAGACATAACAAATTAGCTGGCTACCTTTACTATCTGGATGCCCATAGAGTCATCATCAGGATTACTTCTTTCATTGAATGTGAAACGCATGGTTTTGTCCCAGTCAATGGCTATACTGTGTAAGTACTGATCAGCCAGGGTCAACCAAACCTAGGAATACATATGGCAAAATTAATTATTTCTCTGGTAAAACATAAAGTGTCAATATATATTATCAGATGAACTTTATCAGCTTCACCGACATGTGATCTGCTGTTAGACTTGAAATATGCAGAAGAGGATTTTAGCCACAACAATTTTTGCACAATTAGTGCAAAAATTAATTGCTCTCTAAAACAGAAAGGAAGGAAATGGCCAGCATTAAGCATCCAGATCTGTGGACAGCTTACAAAGATGCAAATCAGCTGTCAGTGAATTCACAGGACCCCTCCAAAATGGAAACACAAAGCAAGGACCCTCTATCAGTTCAGACCTCCTATACTTATCACCAACAAAGAGTTTGATAAAAGGATAACACTGCTGCTGGCTTTACTCAAACTCAGTCATGGATACGTCTCCTGGAAACTCCCAAAAGAAATCTAGCAGAGTTGGTGCTTCTCTATATCAGAAGTCTCTTCTGATGACTTTGCAGAACAAATAGCATCTAGTATTCACCATCTGGGATTCTTCTGAAAGCATGACTTGGATCAAAACAACTTATTCTTACAAGAGGGCTTCCTAAACTGTGGGTGCTACAGGGAGTCCTGAAACAAACATTTTCACTACTTTTAAAGCCTAATAATTGCCAGAACAGATTTATGCATGTGTATCCAAGACAAAGGCTGGACCTTTATTAAAGATTTGAAAACTTCCTGAACCATGAAAGGCACATGACAGATCATACAATGACAAGTAACAATAACGGACCTTTTTTTTCAGGAAACTAAAAGAAATCATGAAAGCAAACTGTTCAAATTTTGTATCAGCCATTAATTCACTCAAGTGAGAAAAGCAATTTAGACACTTCCCATAGATTTAAACACTGAGATAGCTGCATGATGAAGGAATTTATAGACAGCTCCCAGAATCTCATGTTTTCTTCATTTTATTTAAATGTCCCTTCCCACACTTTTATAAAGCCACCCATGTGGAGGAATGCCACTATTCTGCCTCCCAACAGCCTCAGCACTGCTGACATCCTACTGATGTTGTTTGACTGGATTCTTTATCTCTGCCAGCCCCAGAAACCAAATGTCACATGCCACAACAGTAATGCAGATGTCAACCTGCTCCTTTTGCTGACAGCAAAGGAGGCAACCAGCATGCTGCCACCACAAAATACTTCCTCTGTTTTGGTATCTACCTTAAAATCATTGTGAACCCAGGGAATGGCAGTAAAAAGACAGCTTCTCTTTTCTTACCACTACTTCTTTGGTTAGCATCATGTGGTCACATGTGACCAACCACAGAGATGAGCAGAGTGAAAAGGAAAGACAGATCTGAGCTGGATGATGTGGCAGAGCACACACAAGCCTGCTGATTACACAGAACTTGGAGGAGTGGCTGATAAGGTGGACAACTTGACAGGATGGGAAAATGGTCTGACAAGAACCTCATGAATTTCAACAAGGAGAAGAGCAAAATCCTTCCTCTGGGGAGAAACAATTCCAAGCACCAATATATGCTGGGAACACCCAGTTGCAAAGTATCTCTGCTATGCAGAAAGGCTGAGAGAGCCAGCACCATTCAGAATGGAGAAAAGGCAGCTTTGGGGAAATCCTACCAGTGTGTATAAACACCTAAAAGGAGGGTGCAAGGAGGATGAAGCCAGGCTCCAGTCATCTGTGCAAGTGACTGGACTGAAAATAATGGGCACAAATGGAAACACAGGAGGTTCTCCTCAAACAAGAAACACATTTTCACTGTGAAGGCGACTGAGCACTGACACAGGTTTCCTAGAGAGGTTGTGGAATCTCTGTCCTTAGAGATATTCAGAAGTCACCAGGACACAGTCCTTGGCAAGCAGCTGTAGGTGGCTCTGCTTGGGCAGAGGGGTTGGACCAGATGACCTCCAGAGGTTCTGTCCAAACTCAGCCCTTCTGAGATTCTGTGACCTCTGCCACACATGTACCACAGAAAGGTGTCTGAGACACTTTCTGGAGTGTGGGAAAAGAATATTTCAGGAAAGAAAAAAGGCTGTTAGATGGGTATAATAATTCATTGAAGTTGTAAATTAAAAATAAGTTCATTGTCGTGTGAGGAAAACAATGCCACGACGTCTTCTCTTCCTTCTCCCCTGATTTGTAAGGAGGTACAGTTCAGTTCAGAAAGAAGCAAAAACAGGAAAAAGAAATTAAGCTAATACATCAGAAATATGTGGAACTGTATTATCTATATATAATATATAATTTATAAAATATATAAAATTATAATTTATTAATACAATTATATAATTATAATTTATCATTTATATATAAAACTATATCAATATATGTATTATACATGAAACTATATATTTTATAATTCTTTAAAAATATTATTTTTATTAAAACTACGGTTTTAAAGCTGGGATTATGTGACTAAGTTTTTAAGAAAAAATTAATAGACATGCCTCTTTTTATACTAGGGGACTTCAAGTGTTGAAGAACACAAAAGAATAAGTCTGGCAAAATCCCAGTGGACCCTTTTCTACAATACTAACTCAGTGCAATTTCCCATTAATGCTGCACTCTGCCATTCTACATCACTCCTGACTCTGAACTTCCCTAATTTTGGTAATCTGCCTTTTCCCCAACAACTGTTTCTATAGGCATTCTTGTCAGCATTAAGCATCTATCAACTTCACCTTTGTAAGTGTGACAGCCTACACTGCAGATATGTTCTCCTTTCAGTTATCTTCAGCTGTGGGGGCAATTTCATCAGTGCAATTTCTTGAGACTGACAGTATGAGGCAAAAACATCTGTACCAGAATAAGTTACCTAAGCCTCAAGCAGAAAGAACCCAGCTACTGAAAACACCATCTTTACCTGTCTCCTCAACCCTTCCATCTGCCCTGAGAGGTTGCCACTGAATCATGACAACAAGGAAAACCCCCCAGTACAACTTAAAAGGTCCAAATATTTGTTATAAAATCCACTAACAGATAATATTGATGTAATTCACCTCTCCTGAGAAACCTATAGGCAATATGGCCCACAAGACATGGAGGTCTACCTACCTTTCTCCTCCATTCCTTTGGGATGCCTGTCGGCAGTCTGGCCACTGCTTTGAGGGCATCATGCCACTAAAAGCAAAAGCATCCAAAAATGTAAACTATTCATCATTAGTTTAATGCTACAGCATAGCAACATTTGCTACCTTGCAGACATGCACATTCATTTCATTTTCCTGCACGCATGTCAGAGTTTAACTGCTTAATCCACTCACAGGAAAGATACAGATTAATTACTTGATGATTTGACTAAAGTATAACATTCTAGGACACAAGGATTTAGGAAATATTTGAGTAAACAATGAAAGCCTATTCCCTTTTCTGAATACAAATGAAACAGCTCTTGATGCAATTGCAAATAATATGCTGGTATTATGATGACAAGTGCACTCCTGAACTAGGGCAAGCACCTTGATTGCAGAGAACCTACTCCTTCATAGACTCGAGAAAAAAATAAATCAAATTACCTGCTGAAAACCATTTTGACCTAAAGATGGCTCAAGAGTGAATTTCAATTTTGTATCAACCCCTAGAAAGAAAGAAAAAAAAAAAACCTCATTATTTCGTTTACCTCAGAAGACAAAAATAAGCCAAAAAAACCCAAACATGAAAAGCCCACAGTTGAAACAAGAACACAAAATTTTATCTCCCTTTTTTAATAACTACATTTCAACCTGTTTTGGTGAATTTTGTCTTCACAGTGGATTTCAAGGAACATGTTAAGAAGTACACGGACAAAATGTTTTTAAAATGCAGTAACGTGCTCTTTAATGATATAGTTTGGCACAACTCATTTCACTAATATTCATATAGTTCACTGGCCTACAAACTATACTAGTACACTGCAAACTGTCATATGCATCCACAGAAAAATACACGTGCACAGACAGTTTCTTTTCATCTATGCTAGCTTCTTCACATTAAGTCAATAAAAACTAATTTATAAGTTTGGTGTGTGAAAATTATTTTACTGTTCAGAATATATTTTTTTTCCTAATTCCTCAGCCCATAACACACATTTGGTAGTACTGTTATTTAAGCTTAGATTTTATTTTGGCCATAGGAGCAAACTATTTTACTTGTTATGAAGCAGGCCTAATAATTGCTCATACAATATTACATAAAATACCAGAATCTCAAGTGGATGCCAACATGGCACTGGACTATGCCAGAATGATCAAGAGTAAAATATTTAATTTTCTTTCCATCCCCCAGTTTGAATGGACAATTCCTCGGTCCTTCAAGTGCCGCTGTCCACAACTCAGGTGCTGAACACAGCATCAGATCACATCCCCTCCCTCCCGTCGGCTGGCACAAACAATGAAGCCCTCTTTTATTTTCCCTCTACAATTTAATACAATGCTATTGTTATGCATAGCTTTTCATCTTTCCAGAATGCAAAGCCAAACAGTTTTAATATAGAAATACATACATACATATATATATATATATATATATACACACACACATATACACACACACAGAGAAAACCCAAACAGATTATAATCCTGCAAGGTTTTAAGTATATAATATCCATGTTAATCAACTCACCAGTAATAGCCAGTTCTTTAGAGGTCTAAACCTACAAGCGTGACAGAAAACCCAACTGTAGTGGCATTTGCTATTTATGAAATGTAAAATGCCTTTGAGCATTTGCATACTGAAGTGGTGGTAAGTAATTTTAAAGCCTTACTACCTGATAAATTGTATACTTAAAGACAAAACCTTTTTCTCCATGGCCTTTTTTCTTTGTTGGGGGGTGAGTGAATAGAAACAAAGGAAAAAAATCACACAAACTCCAGCACTGTTTAGAATTTTAGCATTTTAGAATTGCATCACTGAGACCTGGGGATTAGTGCTTTCACTTCCCTGCTTCAGATCTAAAAGACATGCTTGTGAGACCTAGAAAAATAAAGACTTCAAACCATAATGATATGTAACTGTTTATTAGTATTCCTTCCCATGGCGCAATGGCACTCGGCAGGGGCTCCTAATAGATAAATCGTTTCATAATAATTCAAAGCAATGTAACAATGGCAGTCACCTAAGATTAAATTGTATCGCATTTGCTGAAATTGGAAAACGTGAACTTCATTCTCAAGCAAAAAAAAGGTAAGTTCTGTAAAGCCCTAATACATACAAAAATACATAATGACTGAGATCTCCTTTTGTTAACGTAACAGATGCTGACACATTATCTAACACTACCTTGCAGCAAAGAACCAATAGCCTTCCAAAATAACCATGTATTCATTTCCAACCCAGCAGCCAAATATTAATTACTTCACAGTTTTCTAAGAGTTAAAAGATCCCAGTAACAACTTTTCTCTCTGTTTTAGAATCTTCCTAAGAAAGACACAAGCAGATATTTTCCAGGTCTTCAAAAGGTCAAGTACAGCAAGATAAAAGCTCAGAGCAAGGAAAAATCTATCTATAGTTACATGAACATCATGACCAGGGAGCTCACACTACAGTCAAAGTATGTGTCACTCCTGAGACTGAAATGAGACCCTTGATGAGACCCTTCAAATGAGACCCTTGATTAAATGAGTGAAACGAGATCATCCACCTACAAAAGTTAATTAAATCACAGCAAACAATTAAGACAGGTGTGAAAATTACTGTAAATGAGAATTACATCATATGATAACACCAGACTACACAGCACACTCTCTTCAGCATGGTGAGGAACTGCTTGGTCAGGCCACACATGACAACCTCTTGTAAAAGCCATGGAATCTGTGTCCCTTTATTTGTTCTCCATTAGAAGTACTTTCCAAATCAATTTATGTGACAGTTTTGTGGGAGGGGAGGGGAAGAACCATGGGGAATGAATCCCAGAGCATATACAAATTGTTCCTCATTCCCATCCATTTTAAAGATTTCCTAATTTGATTTTCTAAAATAAAAAAATTACAACATTGCTTAATAAAAAATACTGCAAGTAAGTATGTAAAAAAAAAAAAACTGCAACCATACCAAGAGAGCAAGGAAGGTAACCAGCAAAATGGGAGCAGCATCTCATTGCCTGTTACTTATTTCTGGCACAAGAATCATCTTGCTACATGCAGTTTCTGCACCCTGCTCAAGGAATTTGTCCCTGAGCTTCAGAGCTTCAAGAAAACTAATGCTTATCCCTAGCTTGGTTTCCTAATCCTTCCTTTCTCCATTATTCCCCTTTTTTTATTCAGTTGTCTTTTCTCCGTAAACTAACTTGGATTCCCCAACAGTTTCTTCCCCCCCCCCTCAGTACCCCACACCTATACAACCCTACTGCATGTCTGCACCTATTTTCACTGGATTTTCCCATTTCTAACAATCCTCCATCTTTGGGTCACATTCCTCTCCATTACATAAACACATTCTTTTTGCAAAAAAAGACACCTTCGGGTCTTGAGAGAACTTTTCTTCCCCGCTCCTTGGCAGGGACAGCCTGGCATAGATGCACCAGACATAGAACAGTAGTTGCTACTTTAAGTGTTGTCAGTACAAGTCAGCCCTTTCACATCAAATCAGCCAGGCTATAGTGTCATTTGACATATTAAATATCACCTCCAGTTCATACACTTTCTACTTTTTATTCATTTCTGAGAAGCATATTAACTCATAACAGCAGGAATATGCTGGAAACACTCTGGAATTATTAGCTCCGCGAATACAAGGACACACAAATGTACAATACTTGACAACAAATTTCTGAAAGGTAGGGAATGCCAAAATAAGCTCTGTTCAATGCCCTTCCAAGCTTGTCAGCAGAAACCATTGCAGAAAAGTTATATAAAAAATAAAAGAATTTAACATGAGGAAAATATAACCCCCCACCCAACCACAGTCCTTTCCTGTGTAAAATACACAGTAACTCCTGACAAGAAAAGACTGTAAGAGGGAAGATTATATCCCTAGGATTCCCAAACCCTAGCAGTCTTCCACTGCATAACCAAAATGTAGCACAGAACGACACAAAGAGCCACAAGAAGGGAGAAAAATACTGGCAGCCAAGTACCTGGTGGTGGAATCAAATTCCCAGTGCACCCTCAGCAAGGTTAAACAAAAGGATAGGGCAAAATCTGGGTTTTTTTCAGAAATATCAAACCACAAGAAAGTGTATGAAGATGATGTGTTTTGTTGCAAGTTTGTGAGCTACAAAGACGCAGCTTTAAACTTGCAAAGTAGCACTATAGGGTCTCAGCTATACTTCACAGCTGTTGAAACCTCTCCCACAGAATGCAAATAAATATTTTATCAAAAATAAACAAGGAAAAAGGCCTAAAGCAGATTTGTGTGCAGCGGGAGCCCATGCTCGAGGAAAGAGAAATGTCAACATGAACTATCACCTCATGCTGCTTGTTGTTTCAGGAAGATTCTTAGCCTTGCAACTTATCTCTAAAAGTAACATTCTGAGTAACTCTGTATGAAACCACTTCTATCAGGAGCCAGAGCTCACTGGGATGTATCAAAGCACATCTAAAATCTCCAGCCTAGAAAAACTTTACAACACAGACAGCTAATATACACACTAAGTAAATCTGAGGAATATTTCATCCAGCATATTTTTTAAGGGTTCATTAACTGCCCCATCTCCACCACTCTATGAAAACATGTATCCTGAATGGGGTTATTGTCTTTACCTACACATGAACAATATGGAAACCTCAAACCAGGGGGATTTATAGGACTGTGGCATTCATAGTTACACCCCAATCACATCCCCAGGTCTTTGTGTGAGTGTAATACATGAATGTCATTATCCAGATAACGTCATTACCTGGGATAATAGCAGGCTACTGTTGGAGCAGGGGTCTTTGAGAATTACAAGTCATGAAATCTCCTTGTAAACAGCAACCCCATAAATCTACCAAAATGTATCTGAGACCTTATTAATAACAGCTTCTGAAACTCATCTCAAGCACAGACGCAGTGAGCATTGTGCACTTGATGCATACACAGCTAGTACAATGGGAAACTGATCTTTATTTATTCCCCTGTATTGTTCTATGTTTCAGTAGATCTCAGGCTTGCATGCTTTGTAAATGCCTAAAATTAGGCAACAAATCAACGTTTTAGCTACAAGTGACAGTTCTAACATGGTAAATGGAATTTAAATTTCTTGATATTTCATTTTTTTTAAAAATCCAACATTTTTATGGCAGACAACTAGAATCTAGCAATTCAGTCATGATTACTCATCCGTGCTTCTGTTGAGAGCCCCCCTCCCCGGAGTAAACACACGTTGTTTGCTGACCACGGTTGATCGGTTCTTAAAAGATTTTGATACTGAAGCAGGATCTAGAAGACACAGCTGCAGAGCTGATGCTTTCCCTTTGGAATAGGCATGGTTGCAAATTTAGACAACACCCTACCGCAGACAAAGGCTGGGCGGGAGGAGGGGTCTCCGGCAGGTCAAGAGGTAGCAGGTATATCAGGAAAGGTCTGGGGAGGCTGAGAGGGGACCTCGGGGAGGGACTGGCAGAAAGCTGAGTCGCCGAGCCCGGGGGAGAGGAGATGGAGGGAGAAAGACACTAGGGACAG